GATATTTAAATTTTGAACAATTATCCAATATATTTTAATTGCCGACGTAGTTTTCAATTGCAAATGTGATTTTAAAAATTAGGTTATTTCCGCAAAATTGATTGACAAAATTAGGGCAAAAGACGACAACGTGGCAATCCGGGTTAACAGAACTCGGGGCGCTACACCAATACTACACTAGTCAATCACTTGTGTATTTCAAAATCATGGGTATTCAATATCATTAATGAAACATTACAATGCATTATAACTTTATGAATATTCTTCAAATATTCCAATTGATCTTGCATATCCAAACAAACGTCATAATTGGATTTGTCCCATTTCATCCACTTTAGACTTAGTGTAAGTCATCCTTATAATTATTATAAGGGTTTTCTACCTTTTCCACTTTCATAGACATACATCTATGATTATCGGTATAGGGTAATATAACTTAGTTACCCCCCACAATTCCTTACTTAGGAATTAATGTACAACTAGTAATGTTGTATCCACAAATCTTGAACTATTCATGTAAGTTCGTAAGCATTGATGTTAACCCCTACATTTTTGGGTTATACTTTGAACTTAGAGCTCATCAACTCTTTCATGGTTCAATTATTTATTCCTTAGATAACGTCTTTACCGAGTACTTCGTGAAAGTCTAATTACTTTTAAAATAGTGGTCGTCAATCCACAATTTATGTCAATTGCGTACTTCAATCCAATTATCTTCAATTTGATCATCCAAATCAAATTAAGGTCATCACATAGACCAACAATACTCTTAAAACCTATACCAATTTAATTGGTTAATTGCGTACTTCAATTACTTGAATTTAATCAAACACAATTGATCAAGGTCAATATATAGACCAACATCGCTTTTTAAGCATACACCAAATTAATTGGGTTCACGATTGACGTCAAATTCAATCAATGAAGAAGACTAAGCATCTTGATTGCAACTTCTTCAACGATTGTGATTTATCACTTTTGTGACATATCATAAAATCATATCAAATAATAAGGTACATGTTCACATTATTCACCATATTCAAACTTGAATAATTGAATCAACCAATGATTCGATAGTTGTGTTCTCAAAAGACATAACCCAACGAGAGGACACACCTCTTCGAATCAATCACTATGAAGAGATACTTCTTTCGGAAAATAATTATTATTAAGAGTCATGATTTCTGATATTATATGATCCTAGATTATTCCATAAATTTTT